AATACGACTGCTACTACCACTACTACCATGACTAAGATAACTACTAATTTTACTACTAATAAGATTTATAATGAAACTAATAATAATATTACTACTACTACTACTACCACTACTACTCACCATTACCACCACCACTACTACTACTTCTAATACTATCACAAGAACTAGTATTGCTAGTCCTACTAACAGGACTACTGTTATTACCATCATAAACATTATTACTACTAATATGAATACTGCGACAACCACTAATACCATCAAAAGTGCAACTAATAATAGTACTAAGACTGTTACTCTAATACTACTACTCACTATTACTACCGCCACTACTACTAATACTTCTACTACTGCCGGAAATACTATTACTGCTGCTACTACTACCATTACTAATAGCCCTACCAATACTTCTATCACAATGGTTACTACAACTAATGCGACTAATACTGCAACTATTAATATTACTACCACCACTAATACTACTACTAAATCTAATACCAGCAGCTACTACTATTACTACCACTAATAATAGTTACAGCTACTACTACCATGAAGACGACCAGTACTACGACTAATAAGACTACTAATGTTACCATCACCACTATTGCTTATACGATTACTACTGCAATTAATAATATTAATACGACTATTACAACTACTATTGATACTCACTAGTACTACCACCACTACTACTATAACTACAACTACTAAAACTTCTACTTTTTCGACTAAGACGATGATAATTGCTGCTACTACTAGTGCAGATATTTAAATAAATCAGCTTAGGCGGCTGAGCCACAGAAAATTTGGGATTGGCCACGGTGGGGGTGATAAGAGCTAATTAGGCAGAAATGGCCATTTCAGCCTCTTTGTTCTGTCAAAAGAACTGTAAACCAAAAATAGAGATGCCAGGGACCATATTCGTTTCTGATGAGTACTGCGAAGGCGTCTTTTCTGGTTAATAGCACACGCAACAGTTCACGATTTTGACCTTTTTTGGCTTTGCAGTCAAGCTCACGAAACGATGACGGAAATTCTGAATTAAGTTATCAACTACTCCTAGGAATTAGCCTCTTTGTAGGAATCCGTCGCCCAGGGCCACTGCGCTGACTCATGCTGCCTTTCGTGCCCTGAGCTTTGATCGCTGCGCGCTATTGCTCTTTTGCACGCTTGATGTCAACCCACCGCGTTTACGGTTGTCGCTTATCGATATTCCTGCCTCATTTGATTGGCGCCAGCCGATTGATTATTCATTGTACAGCCTAAACTTGTAACATCCGCACTTTTGCACCTGCACGGCTGGCTATCGTACGCGGCGTCACTGTACAGCTTTTTGAGCAGTAAAGTTGTTCGCATTAAACCAGTCTTGCCAGACTTGTTATCTGGGGATCTTTCTGGTGTTGAGACAGCAACTAGATCTCAATATCTTAACTTCAATCGGCAGTTCAGGAGACTGGCTGATGAATGTTCACCAGCTAATGAATGCTTCAGCAGCCGCACAGCGCGGCTAGTAGTGTAGGCGGATTAACATTGCCGGCAAAAACAGGGAAGACCAGAATAGCCGTTTCTGGCTTATTAGCCGTCATCAGCCAGCAATACCCAACCCTAGATCGTGCTCCACCCGAACCCGCGACCTGTGGATCAGAAGTCCAACGCACTAACCCACTGCGCCACGAGCTCGCTTTCTTGCAGGTTTCAACCGGGA